CAGCTCTAAATCTATCTATAGAGGAGGCCTATGTTCAGCAGTGGACTTTTATAGCCTGTGATGGATGGATATTTTTGATATTAACAGGTGTTTTTTTTATTAATTAATATGTCAGCCAAGAAAAAAGTTATTTGTTAATTGAAGAAAAATAAAATATACTTAATTGAATTAATTTACCTATAGTGTCACTTTTGTACTTTATTTTATATGTCAGAAAATAAAAACATCGTTCAAGGAGCCACATAGTGAAAGTTCTTCTAAATATTTGTTATAAAATATCGTCAGTTCAAAAGCGATATAACAGCGCAAGAAAACCCATCAATGTAATTTGTTCCATGGGAATCGTGAGGGAATACCCTCACAACTAAGAGGCAACCATAGGAAATACCAAAAATATCAAATGATTTCTTGTATTTACGCGAACTATAATTTTTCGGATTTTATCGCGTTTCATTTTAACTTTTCTTGAGTAAGGTAAAGGCACCTATTTCCGCGGTACTTTTACTAAAATCGAAAGGAAATCGAAAATTAAGCATTTCTTGTACCCTTTTGAAGATTTGGCCACTTTATCAGAACCATGATTGTCTCTACTCTTGAAATAGACAACAGAATTGGATATTAAATGTTGATTTGTATTCTAAATTAATGAAATATTAAACGAAATGGAAGACACCTTATTCCGATGTGAAAATCCTTATTCCCATGTATTTGGTTCCTAGTAGCGAGTGTATAAAATGCAAACAAAAAGGTAAGGAAGAATAATATAAAGTGTTCGTTATCCTTCAACCAAAATTATTATAATTTAATAAATATGAATGATCATCTCCGTGGGTATAAACCTGACAAATAATGAAATTTTATTTTTAATAATTCAATTAATTAATGAACAAGGTGTTGTTAACCAATTTTGATGTTTTTTTATAGGATCAGGGTGACAAATGAGCACACAGTCCACCTGATGGTAAATGGTTGCTGTGGCCGATAACCATTTACATCTAGCCTCGTTTCCGAATCTAAATGCAGATGCGTTGTCAGCGTTCCAGTAAAAAGGGTCTCCGGTTCTCTACACTCACCATACAGCATTAAGCTGTTATTTGTGCTACAACTATACAATTAATATAGCTGCAGCATGGCTCTACCACGTACAAATGTTAAATTTGAACCCAGTCATAGTTGAGAATACATACTGCAATTTATTCTGAATTACTTTTAAGCACGGTAGAGCCATGCTGTAGCTATATTAATTGTATAGTTGTAGCACGAATGGGTCGGCTCGACCGGGGAAGGACCACGCTCTCGCAGAACACCAGCGTAAAATAGCAGCTTAACGCTGCTGTGTTTCGTATGGTGAGTGTAGAGAACCGGAGACCCTATTTACTGGAAAAGAGGCATTATATCTTAGTCCTCACGGCTGACAACGAAAATCTACGTTTTAATTCGCAAACGAAGATAGATGTAGATGTCTATGGGCGACAGTAACCACTTACCATCAGGTGGGCTGTGTGCACGTTTGTCACCCTATCCTATTAAAAAAAATTCACCTTAGTCTCAATAGCGACATTTGCTGAGCGTAAGATTATTAGTCCTCTTTGATACGTACGGATATTGATTTTGTATCTGCCCTGCCCTTCGATTGGCATTATCAAGAGATGTCCGCCAAGCTTATAGTCCCCAATGAGCGTCACGGAGCACTGCAGCTCCAGCCTGGTGCTTTGCGTGTACCGTCTGGTGATGAACATTGTTATTAGGGCATAGTGTAATGAAATTAAAATGATCAATCTTAAAAAAAACCATTTTTAAAAACTAACAAACATTTATTAAAAAAACCGACCGAAAAAGTTTAGTTACATTCTGATCTTAAAGTAAATAGTACAAGGGATCAACCATGGATCCTTTCAGGCACAATGAGAAGAAGATTTATCCCGATATAATAAATAAAAGAGATGGTATGAATTAAATTATATAGGTACAACGATGTGACTAATATTATTTACATAATGAATTCTCATTTTAATAAAATTGTTTGTTATTTTATCGCGTATATTAACTTATTTTATAATCCTTACTTCTCCCATAAATCCAAGCTTCTACAAGCGGTACGTAAACACACTTTCACAATTCTACTTTTTGATAAATTTACTGCATTTTTAGACTATCTTAACTGCATTAATTCTAAAATTCAGTTTACAATGGAGTTATAGGCAAACGATTTCATAGCTTTTTGAGATGTGTTAGTAATTCGAAATCCTGATAACATCTTGAGCCACACTGTGTATAGAAAAAGGACCCATACAGATAGATGTTTAAACGGTGATTCACCACCATCCTTCGTAGTTAGCTACCGTGGGTAAATCTTTGTTTCAGAGAGCACGAAGGATCTGTGACAGTAAACACATGGCTGCCGACTCCTACACGTCAAGCAAGTTTTGCATGACAACAAGCTTTGGGTCCCGCGCCTATGTCACAGTGAACGAGTGAAGCCGGCCACAGTCGAGCGAGTACCTGCTGTACAGCCATATGGCAGAGGTGTCACTGACAAGATTGGCTACATCTTGAAGCGTGCTTCCATTAAAACGTACATCAAGCCGCCGAAGAAGATTAGTTATATTTTACCATCAGTCAAGTGTAATGTCCCTTTGCAAGATGCAGGAGTGTACAAGCTTGATTGTGAATGTGGACTCTCTTATTCAATAGGTCAAACTAAAAGATCAATAAAAACGCGCGTTAAAGAACACATAGCTGATGTGAAAAATAGACGCTCCGGGAAGTCTGCAGTCTGAAAAGGTACAGGATCGCCTCCGTCACTACATTAGATTTGGTAGACCACAAATGCTCGCTAAAGAACACCGATTCCTTCCAAGGATGATTCGCGAGGCTATTGAAATTAAAAAACATCCGAATTTCAATAGAGAAATGCTGGGTGCTACCATCTGCTTGGGATCCTATAATTAATAAAATTTTATCGCAACCCAAGTATACTTCAAGATACTGTAAGTTCATACTGCGTAGATCGGAACAAAAATTTATAATATTAATCTGGAGGTAGCCGTGGTTAACTATGATACAGAGACGTCTAACACCCGTGGTAATGGGTGCTGTAAAGTGCTCGAAGCGTGGTGAATATAAAATAAGTTAATATACTCGATGAAATCCGTAAAAACTAGTTTTATTCAAATGTGTAGTTATCGTGTAAATATAAGAAATCATTAAGATTTCTTATTTTTCGCGAATACTAAACACATAATAAAACAAATTTAATGGATTTTATTTTATCATTTTATTGTTCCCCACTTTTGTATTATATAATTTTATGAATAAAAAAATCTCAATTTAATTTCAGTGTTTGCCAAAGGATCGACGAAGACCTCTGAAAAGTCGTTATTTAATTATTATCTTAGTCATTGTTATTGCTTAAATTATATTTCATTCATTATATGAAGGTGAAGTCATTCAATATTTTATTTTATTTTATCATTTAAATACTCTTATAAACTATTTTAAATAATACTATCTTATGTAGTTTTAGTTTATTGATAGAAGAAAAACTGAGTATAGCTTCATTTTTATTTGATTCTAGTAGTTTATATTTTTTATATTTTTATTCTCTTTATGGACGCGACCAAGTGGTCGGAAAAGTGCATTATTGGTCGGGAATGGTTAGGAATTTAGAAGATTTAGTCCATTTTAACGGCTCGACCCTTGTATTGACGAAATAGACCTAACAACTTTTTGCAAGGTAGAGACACCGCAATTTAAGCTGTCTCGCCAGCAAGGCAAAGTTAGAAATTTCATACCTTGCAGTAAGGTAATGGTGGTCCTGGACTCGATAATTCCCAGAATATTACCGTCATCTACGCGTCGTCAATAATCGTTCAGCACTTCATTCCTTGCTAGTAATATTTATAGTATATCTACTAGCTGTTCCCCGCGACTTCGCCCGCGTGTCGTTTAGCGTTTTAATTATGTTGCACGGAACCCTAATTCTTTTTTTTAATATATGTAGCCTAAGTTACTCCTTATAACATCAGCTATCTGCCAGTGAAAGTCCCGTCGAAATCGGTCCAGCCGTTTCTGAAATTAGCCGGAACAAACAGGCAGACAGACAGACAGACAAAAATTTAAAAATTGTGTTTTGTTATAAGTATCGTATATCCTTTCATATGCATTTATTAAAAAGCTGTTATTTTAACATTACCAACAGACACATCAATTTTATTTATTTGTAATGGGTTTTTCAACAAGAACTTTGTTTTCTAAAACAAAATAAAACAAAGAGTTTAGGTGAAGATGATTCAAATTTTTATTGTATTACGAAAAGAAAAGTTTGGCAATTATGACTGAAAAATGATATCTGGCAAATGTCCACCACGACCACGCTGACAAATGTCGATTCTTTCATCAAAGTTTTTAATCACTTTTTGGCAAAATGGCGGGTCTATTTCGTTAATCACGTCACGGATTTTGAGTTTTAAGGCCGCGATCGATTCGATTGGCTCCGTATAGACTCTGTCCTTAACATAGCCCCACAAAAAATAATCCAGTGGTGTTAAATCACACGATCTGGCTGGCCATTTAACAGCTGAATTTCGTGAAATTATGCGATCGGGAAATTTGGTTTGCAATAAATTGATCGTTTCGTTGGCTGTGTGACATGTGGCACCGTCCTGTTGAAACCACATGTTTGTGATATCGATGTCATCAATAATAGGCCAAAATTGAGATGTTAACATCTAGCGATAGCGTGATCCATTAACCGTTACCGCATTTCCAGCCTCATCTTCGAAGAAACACGGTCCAATCACGCATCCAGACCACATAGCGCACCATACAGTGACACGTTGAGCATGTAAAGGCTTCTCAATAATCGCTTTAGAATTTTCAGAAGCCCAAATGCGGCAATTTTGCTTGTTGACGTACCCTGACAAGTGAAAATGGGCTTCGTCTGAAAAAATGTTTTTTTCAGAAAAACCAGCGGGCTGTTCCTGAATGAATTGAGCGAATCAACGGCGATGTGTATGGTCGGTCAGCTTCAATTGCTGCACCAGTTGAACCTTGTAAGGCTTGAAAGACAAATCCTTATGCAAAATTCGCCAAGTGGTGGTTTTGGATAACCCCAATTGTTGAGAACGTCGAGGAATTGACAAATTTGGATCTTCTTCAACACTGTGGCTCACGGCTGCGATGTTTTCGGTTGAACGACCCGGTCGAACACGCGTTGGTGTTGGTGCATTTTGTACCGAGCCTGTCGATTCAAATTTAGCGACCAAATTCTTAATAGCGGTCTCAGAAGGACGATTATGTTGTCCGAAAATATCACGAATTTTACGAAACGTAACTTTAACAGAACCACCATTTTCATAGTGGATTTTAATTATTTTAATGCGATTTTCGAGCGAAATTGAATTCATTGTAGCAATTGCCAAAGCATCCACTACGAATAGGTCAAAAAACTAAATGTCAAAACTGTCATGTTTTTGGTGTTGCCCCAATTGAAAAACAAAGTTCTTGTTGAAAAACCCTTTATAGTTTATCGTCACTGCGTTGCTAGCGATACGTTTTGCCAGCAACAAAAAATTTCAACAGTTCGTTGCGGTGTAAATTTTAGAGCATCTAATTTTTAAACTTGGCAACTAATTAGCACCTAAAAAGCCCTTGGTTTTGACTTTTTCTAAATGCAAATTTCTGACTTTGCGTCGCAGGCGAGACGGGGCTCGCAATTTATCAATTTGCTACAAGATTCTAGATTCTAGGTGTTCTCCTAAATCCTACGTTCTAGTCCCATTGAACTTAGAAAATATATTTTCTGATTTACAAAATATTTTATAAAATATTTTTACAATCACTTACTCGATGTTTATCACCTCACAGTTTCTAAGGCCTCTGACTATGGTATTTCTGAACTCCATCTGCAAGCCAGACTGGGTGGCGGAAACAACTTCTAGCGTCATTGGGTCCAGCGGCTGCATGCCGAGGCTCGTCACCCCAGCAGCTATGACCGGCAGCGCCCGCTGTGTCGACTGCTTCAGGCACTCCCTGTCCCAGGAGTTGCATGGAGTGATAAAAGGTGCTGGAAATAAAACATTTAAGTTCTTTAGCATAAAAGTTGCACGTGGTAGAGCCATTCTACAGCTACATTATAATGTTTGTAGCACGAGTGGGTCGGCTCGACCGGGGAAAGACCACACTCTCACAGAATAGAGACCTATGTTCAGCAGTGGACTTTGACAGGTTGTAATAATGATAATAACAGTGATGATGATATGTTGAGACAGATTTCTGTAACAGACAGACAGAAAGACGGACGGACTACGAGACGATTCCATAAGTTTTACGTTTTACAGATTTTAGCGTGGATCCTTATACAGGGTTATTTTCCAGGGAGTAGCCAAATTGTAAAGGTAAGTTCAAATATATAAATAATGATATAACGTTGTTGTAGTTTTTGAAAATACGACTAAATAAGATTCCTACTTTTATTTAAAATTATCCCAAATTGAATGTGATTTATGGATAACAACGTTTTTACTTACTGATCGACCCTTACGAATGTGTGCGTGCGCAATAAAATCAATTATTTTTTTTTATATAGGAGAGGGGGCAAACGGCCGTGCGGCTCACCTGATGGTAAGTGACTACCGCCGCCCATGAACAACTGCAACACCAGTGAACCATGGGAATGGCAAATGCGTTGCCGGCCTTTTAAAAAGGAGTAAGCTCCTTTCTTGAAGGTCCCTAAGTCGTATCGGTCCGGAAAAATCGCTGATGGTCATCGATTCCACAAGGAAGTTGTGCGAGGAAGAAAACATCTTCTAAATCGCACAGTGGTGGACCGCCATTCATCCAGATGGTGTGGATGGTATCGGGAGTTCTGCCGCGATGTGAAATTTGGCGGCTGCAATTAATCCGAACAATTCCTCAGAGCACTCCCCGTGGTCAATGCGAAAGAAAATGCAAAGGGATGCAACATCTCTTCGGATCTCGATCGGAAAGGACTCGGTCGTCGACGATTCGAGCCGCTCTGCGCTTGATGCGGTCAAGTGGAAGGAGCTGGCACTGGGGTGCTCCGGTCCAGAGATGGGAACAGTATTCCATGTGAGGCCGAACCTGCGCCTTGTAAAGTTGCAGGCGTTGTGCCGGCATGAAGTACTGTCCCGCTCTGCTGAGCACGCCAAGCTTTCTAGAGGTCAATTTGGCCTTCTCTTCCAAGTGACCATGAAACTGCACGTCACTCGATATGTCGACGCCGAGGATTCCGATACTGGCTGAGGCAACAAGGGGAGTGCCTTGAAACTGAGGAGATACGACAAAGGGGTTCTATAATAATACATTAACACGCATTTTGAATTTAAAAGATAAAAAGGACAGAATGTTTGAGATCTTTTTTAATTAATTTTTCCTCTCCATTTGCCTATATTACTTATTCTGAACCTTCTCTGCAAATTTGACCGGTTATTGCAAAATAACCCTGTACATAGGAGATATATAGGAGACTACGTTACTTCATAATTTAAAAAAGAATATTATTTCATTTTATGTTTTTAAATTAAGAACTTAAATTGTATTTCTTATTTAAGATCTTACATAAGAGTTTTTTTTTAATATAATTACCGGCCCATGGTCACTACTTTCGTTTATCTCCGCTAGGATTTGTTAGATGGTAGGACCCTTTTCTGTCTATAAGTCTATCTAGGTAGGTCTACCCTATTTTTGTGGCCAAATAGTGATGCTTGCACTGCTGAGTTCCAGTTGCAAGGGTATATAGACCTAATATATTGACGGCTCCGTGGCGCAGTGGCTTACAAATGAGTTGTTGCGCTGGGGGCCGCGGCTTTGAATCCCGCACAGAACAAGTATTTGTATGGCCTAAAAATAATTGCTCCGGGTCTGGATATCTGTCCGTGTGCAATTTATGTTTGTAAACTGTCTCCACGATACGGGAAAAAATCCTAGTGTGGTGGTAACGTTTTAAAATAAATAAGAAACAAATAAGAAAGAAAAATATAATTACAGTCTGAGGTGGAACCCACCTTAGTCTTATGAAGTACCAACGCATCTGTAGCCTTGTTTGTTTCAAGCTAGTATACGTGGTAGAGCCATGCTGCAGCTATATTAGTAGTATAGTTGTAGCACGAATGCGTCGGCTCGACCGGGGAAGGACCACGCTTTGACAGAATACCAGCGTAAAATAGCAGCTTAACACTGCTGTGTTTCGTATGGGGGGTGTAGAGAACCGGAGACCCTTTTTCCTGGAAACGAGGCATTCCATCTTAGTCCTCACGGCTGACAACGCATCTGCATTTTGATTCTTAATCGAGGATAGATGTCAATGTCTATGGGTCACAGCAACCACTTACCATCAGGTGTCCTATAAAGAAAAAGTTGGTTGTAAGTTTCCATGGGCTGCAGTAACCACTTACTATCAAGTCGACTGTAGTTTCTTTTGTCTCTCCAGTTTAAAAAAGAAAAATCATCGATGAAGAACCCCTGAGGACTAAGATGGAATGTCTCATTACCAGTAAAAAAAATCTGTGTTTGATTACAGAGTAAATAGTAGTACCTACGTTTAATGTTCATGAAATCGCGTAAAACTGAACGCTTTAATGTATTTCGAAGCAACGAGTTTCCGTATTCTAATGGATTGCTATTTTTAAAACAACGGTTACACTCAAGTAAAATACGTCTCTTGAAACTGTTTAACGACAGTTAATGTCATTATTATAAAGTAGATTTAAGATGTCGAGCAAGAATCTCGCATGTGTGCGATACTGAAAGTGATTTATTAATAGAAGTTCATTAAGAATAGATTACTTACGCGTCATTGAGTGCGTACTTCGTTAAAACTCAATCAAATTTCGATTAACACAGCTTCGTAATTGCAAAGTATTTTTAATTTATCAAGTGCTAGAGCACTTTTTCTGCCTAGAATTCCGTTTGGGTATGTCTTACCTTTTTTTTACATTGGGAAATGCCTACGCATATGCGCCTCGCGGGGCAAGTATGGGTTATGTCGGACTCGCACCGACTAAAACCCCATGGTGTTTTATCTTAGCCGCATATTGGCAGGGCCACGGGAACGCTTTCGCCGCCGGCCGCCCCTTCTCGGGGGAGGACCTCTCCTCCCCATTCTCCTTCTCAGGCAAAGCGCACCAGGAACACAATACGCCCCCCTCCACGGCCTCCAACTCCACCTGCGTATCGGACCCCACCTGAGTCTGACACGCGGAGGCCATGGTACCAGGGAAATCGAGCGCTTAATAGCACCCGCTTTCTCGACCCCAGCGGCGGATCTGGTCTCTGGCTCCGCCGTCAATCAAGTTTCGGCCGCGGAGGGTAGGGAGAGTGGCGTATTGCAATACCGACTATCCTCTACCCCCGCAGCCCTGCGGACCCCGTCATAATCGCGGAGGATAGGGCGAGTGGCGCATCGTCATACCAACACTCCTCTTCCTCCGCGACTCCACCACGGCTGCAAGGCGGGAACACGTTCGGGGGGGGGGGGGGGGGTCTCAGTGTATTTACAGCGTAGTGGCGGCGTAAAAGATTCCACTACCTCATATTATCCCGTGGGTGTTGTGTCATAAGAAGCGACAGACGGAAACTAGTCAGGAGTTTGGCATCAGCATCTTCTCAACAGAACAGAACAATAAAAAACTGCTGTTTCCTAAGGGCCTATCAAGCATGGCTACCAACTATGGAAAACCTCCCTCTAGTGGTAGACCCCGTGATGTGGAAAGCCTATGTTCAACAGTTAACTTTTGGTGGGCTAATGAATTATTCATTCTAGTTCTAATAATAGTAACGTAAGTAGGGGATAGATTCTAAATCTGCTAGAACTCGAGAGTGTCATGTGTATGGGTCGTATTTAGGTTGAGTCAAGCTTTCTAATAAATATAACACAATGCTGTTCACATGGCCGTAAGCATCAGAACGGCGAGAGGTGTACTCCGTCATTAATTTCAAATTGATCGAGTTTCTTGAGTTGGGTCCCGGTTGAAATTTTTAATAGGAATGTTACAGTGGCTGAAGGAAAATGTCGTAGAAAAGCGGTCTCTCAATAATATGTAGGTTTGCCCAGCAATGGGACATTAGAGGCCGTGTTATTTAACTTATCATTAAATTTATCTTTGATACCGCATGGCATATTAGTTAGAAAAATAGCTCACTACGCTATGAGTCCGGGGTTTGAGTCACAACCTAGGCCGACAAGTTATGAAAAGAAACACAAATGTCTGATTTTTATTCTTAGAAAACCTTACCTCCACTTACATACTACGTAAATAATTAAACATTGACGAGCACCTATCCTATTCATTCCTTTGTCTGATTTCGATGCTTAAAAAACGTTAGTTAAACACTTGTAATTTAAAAAACAATGAAAAACACACAGACCCTTAAATGCTATTTGTAG